GGTATTTACATCATGTTTGCACATATTTGTTAATTAGTCAGCTGAATATTTATAACTGAATAGTAATTTTTCACCTGAACTCTAGCTCCGTACTTTAACGAACACCATAATATTAACTCAGTCAGTCTTTAAAACTACATACGACAAGCTATGTGAAACTATGGCAGATCATTGACAGTGTTATCAAACACTGAGAGTGCTTGAACATATTGGTTCATGTGAAGTAGTGTACTTTGTGCTTGTCTTTGGCAGGAAATGTGTGCTGTGTGCTGACACACTAGGAACAGGGTGTCATGGAAATCACCTGGTCCTGTCACTCTTACTCAGCTGTGACTGTATGTGTGTGTGTCTGATACGTGTACAGACAGAACAGCATGTGGAGCAGAGAGAAGATCATTCATTACCCCTTAAATCAGACCTGAATTAATTCACATTAATACCAATCAAACATAAGCCAGCCTGATCTATCACACCTCTCAGCCTCAATATGAGCATATAGACAGCATCACATCAGTAAAATCATTTTCAGATAATCAAACACACGTCAGATGTCGCAAACCGACACCAACTTATTATTTCACAAACATTATAAATTAGATGCAGCTTCCACTGTGAATCTCTAAATTAAGGAATGTTCAGGTCATATTTTCCCATCCCAGAATTAAACATCAATTTAAATTAAACCTATTTTAGCATTTATTTTTTCATTGTGATATTTTTATGTAATTTATAAGCCTTATTACTCCTTCCTCAAATCACAGTAGCTTTCATTCTCATTACACCAATGTAAAAAATGTTTTAATGTTAGACAACATGATAAAGCAGACATCATGCCGATTTTATTTTTTTAATCCATTTTTTTTGTACTATGTAATATGAATATGATTTTTTTACATTATAACGATAGTAAGAATTAAATAATTTTAATGGTTTAAAAACATTATTTATTTTCTTAAATGCAAATTCTAATTACATTTTTGTTCTTTCAGTTCTTGTTCAATTTTTTCTTTCAATCACCCAAACATTTCTTTGTGAGTTTCACCTTCCATCTCCTTTCTGTCACATCTCCCACACAAACATATTCCTACATAATCATGCTGTATTCATAAGAAAGGTTGTGATACTAAACCAATACATTATTTAAGGGTGCACAACACTCATAACAATCTGTGAGAGAAAGAAAGTCGGCAAGAGAAAATGATAGACAGAATAATAGATGAAGCACCACAGGAAGACACACTCACCCCTTTTCCCATGTTTGTTGATTAATGAACTGATGCCCAGATTTCTCCCACTCTCCCCTCACACGTGTGGAAGACACTGGTGGCTTTTTTTGGAGGTAACATACCCCTTCTCCACCTAATAACACACACACACACACACACGCACACAGCCTGCTCTCTCCCCCCATTTGTGCCTCAGGGTAACCCGAAGCTCACTTCCCACCCCCTGCCCTTAAAAACATACAGACACACACACAACCTTCATGCCCATGGCTCTGTATACCTGCACCTGCTACCACTTTCCCCCTCTTTCTCTCTCCCTTACACACACTTTTATCATCATAATTTATTTTATGCTTGTTAGAAGGGCAGAGGAAGCGAGATATGGGCTGAATTCAGTGTTGGGAAGGTTACTTTGGAAATGTAATAGGTTACAGATTACAAGTTACCCTATTTAGAATGTAATAAGTAGTGTAACTATTTCAATTACTTTATTGCAGTAATGTAACTGATTACATTTGATTACGTTTTAATTACTTTTCTAATTTTTTCGACTGTTAGTCATTTTCAAACATTAAAACCAGGCAGGGTTAACCTTACTACAGTGCTCAACACCACAACCCCAATTCCAGAAAAGTTGGGAAGTTTTGTAAAATGCAATAAAATCAAGAATCTGTGATTTGTTAATTCTCTTTAACTTTTATTTAATTTGGAAAAGATTTCCAAAGTTTTCACTGACCACCTTATTGTTTTTTTGTGAATATAAACAAATGTTGATTTTGATGGCTGCAACACACTCCAAAAAAGTTGGGACAGAGGCAAAGTGTCAAACAAATCAAAAACACATTTCCCAATGCAAAATCACAAATAATTTAGGTATTTCACCAACTACCATTCATAATATTGTGGAAAGATTCAGGGAATCCAGAGAAATCTCAGTCTGTGTAGGGCAAGGCAGGAAATCTCTGAATGTGTGTGAGCCGTCATGAGCCGTGTTAAATATAGCCACATGGGCTCAGGAGCACTTCGGAAAAAAACCCTGTCACTTAACACAGTCTGCCGCTGCATCAATAAATGCAACTTGAATCTCTGTTACTCAAGGAGAAAACTATACATCAATTCGATGCAGTAATGCTGCCGGGTTCTCTGGGCCTGAGCTCATCTCAGATGTTCATCACATCTCATCAAAGAAATGTTTGCTGTGGTCAAATGAGTCCACATTTCAACTGGTTTCTGAGAAAAATGGACATCGAGTTCTTAGTCCCAAAGACCAAAGGGACCATCCAGACTTTTACCAGCGACAGATGCAAACGTCTGTCATGGTATGGGGTGCAGCAGAGCAAATGGCATGGGTTACTGGAATATGTGCAACCATTGATATGGAGGCATACATTGTAATTGTACAGAGACATATACTGCCATCAAGATGTTGTCTTTCATGGGAAGTCCATGGTTATTAGAACAAGACAATGCCAGGGTTCAGTCTGCATGTGCTACAACAGTGTGGTTTCGTAGACACAGAGGGAATGTGCTAGATCAGTCCAGATCTGGCTCCTATTGAAAATGTATGGCCCATCATGAAAAGGAGAATCAGACAACGATGATCACAGACTGCTGAGCATCTGACGTCTTGTATCAAGCGAGATTGGACAAAAATTTTGCTTGCAAAACTTTAACAATTAGTATCCTCAATTCCAAAACAATTAAACACTGTAATTAAAAAGAAAGTTGATACGACATAATGACAAACATGCTTATGTCCCAACTTTTTTGGAGTGTGAATAAAATAAAATTAAGTTGGCCAGTGAAAACATTGGAATTTTTTTCTTTGTACTATAGTCAATTAAATAAAGGTTAAATTAAATGAACAAATAACATATTCTTGGTTTCATGACATTTCACAAAACAGCCCAACTTTTCTGGAATTGTGGTTCATCATTCTCCATTATTTCATCATTTGAATTAAGATTATAATAATTTTATTTTAAAGCACAGCCACCACAAAATAAGACTTACTTTGAGATCAATCTGAGGTTAAATACAGATTTAAAATCATAACAAGAAAAATAGTTTAATAGATGCTGTTTTTGAAATCAAATCTTTGCAGAGCTATGACAGGAAACGCTGGAATCTAACAATGCCTTGGAAAAAAAAAACAGTTCATCTTAAAAAATAAAGCATATACATAAACCCAAATAGGAAATAAAACAGTTATCGAATAAGCATGTGTCCTATTCTCTGTACTAAACTCCTGAGATATTGGTGTCTCATATTTTAATCAATTAAATCTGTACGTGTGTGCGTGTGTGTGTGTGTGTGTGTGAAAAATTCAGATGTAACCCCCTTCGTAATTGTTAACATTTTCATAAGTAACCATAATTTAATTATACATTTTTTTCTCAGTAACTGTAACTGATTACAATTACATTTATTTTGTAATTAAATTATGATTATGATTTAGCTTGAGGATTTCTTTACCATCTAAATCAAGCCTTGAGAATGTGGGAACTACAACTCTGCAATCAACATCTCTGCCAGATCCATTAAGAACTGGACCGGAGAGAGCAGCTGCTCTCCTGACCCCACTGTGCCCGCAGCGATACTCAGCTGACGCAAAAGTCAGTGATAAATCACATGAACTTCACATGCTACACTATTCATTGTCTCTATGGAGGACATATTTCACTTTTTCCATTTTTTTCTTTTCTTTTTCTTTTCAGGCTAATGTTATCAAACTAGTCTAAACTTACCAGAGGCAGTCTGTGTGCTCTGGTTATAGCATATTATGTACGTATATAAAATGTATATAGTTTACTGTCTCTTGAACAATTGACACTAAACTGGTTGATAACATCAGGCTACTACAGACAAAGCAAGCCTAGGCCTATATATACATATTCACTATAATTATGGAATATTAATCTGTAATCTTAATTCTATAATTTTAAATTAAAATTCATTGATGTGTGAAGCTGTTACCCCATGTTTTTCTCGCAACAAAGAAATTTATTAACTATTTTATGTTGATGTTTACTTAATTTTGTAAGTTTATTGCTTTCAATTAACAATCTCTGCACACCTGACGACAATTGATAGGTGCGTAGGAATCAGAGACCACAAAGATCAAAACTCAAGGAAAAAGAAAACAATTCCCGCACAATGTCAATAGTGCAAAAGTATCAAAAAGGTTTAATTACAACGTTTCGGTCGTATGACCTTCATCAGGTATCTTCCTACCCAACAAATACCTGATGAAGGTCATGCGACCGAAACATTGTAATTAAACCTTTTTGATACTTTTGCACTATTGATAGTGTGCGGGAATTTTCTTTTTCCGTAAGTTTATTGCTTGAAAAATCACAAATAAGGTTAAGGTTAAACAAGGTTAAGCATGTCCTTAGGTCTACTGACAATTTGTTGACAGCTAAAATGCATAATTTTCTTTTACGTTTCACGCCCTCTTTTGCACCATAATCATGAAATGTGCATCGGTTTTAATTCTAGACCAAATAAGAAACCTTTCAACTGCATTTTCAAACATTTTACTATCCATAAATGTTAGATTCAGAGCGTAGCCTATATATATTCACCTGGTAACTCACGCGCTAGCAAACAGAAGCAGCCTTCGCCAGAGGTAGTAACCATAGCAACAAGAAGCACTAGACATGTATCATTTGCTACATTTAAACTATATTTTATAGAGTTATTCACTCATCTGCATCATTGATGGTTATTCAGGTCATTCTTTCAGTCCACACAAAAACACACAAGGGATCTGATTTTTTTTATTGACATTTTTCTGAAATCATTTCAACTTGAGATTTTTCTTTTTACAAGACATTTTACAGAAAACCAAAGTTAGCTAGGTCAATAGTGCAAAAGTATCAAAAAGGTTTAATTACAACGTTTCGGTCGTATGACCTTCATCAGGTATCTTCCTACCCAACAAATACCTGATGAAGGTCATGCGACCGAAACATTGTAATTAAACCTTTTTGATACTTTTGCACTATTGATAGTGTGCGGGAATTTTCTTTTTCCGTAAGTTTATTGCTTGAAAAATCACAAATAAGGTTAAGGTTAAACAAGGTTAAGCATGTCCTTAGGTCTACTGACAATTTGTTGACAGCTAAAATGCATAATTTTCTTTTACGTTTCACGCCCTCTTTTGCACCATAATCATGAAATGTGCATCGGTTTTAATTCTACACTAAATAAGAAACCTTTCAACTGCATTTTCAAACATTTTACTATCCATAAACATTAGATTCAGAGCGTAGCCTATATATATTCACCTGGTAACTCACGCGCTAGCAAACAGAAGCAGCCTTCGCCAGAGGTAGTAACCATAGCAACAAGAAGCACTAGACATGTATCATTTGCTACATTTAAACTATATTTTATAGAGTTATTCACTCATCTGCATCATTGATGGTTATTCAGGTCATTCTTTCAGTCCACACAAAAACACACAAGGGATCTGATTTTTTTTATTGACATTTTTCTGAAATCATTTCAACTTGAGATTTTTCTTTTTACAAGACATTTTACAGAAAACCAAAGTTAGCTAGGTTAAAGATAAAATAAAAGTAAAAAATAATTAGACTTTTTAATGGAGTTTGAAGAGAGAACGGTTACCTAGACTTGTACCAATACAGGTGCACAATACATACAACATGGGAATTGCCCGATATTTAAACACAGTTTAATGGCAGGTACCATGTGGCTGCTTGACATTTACTTTGAGATGCATAAAAAGCATCTGTCTGTAGGCTAACAAACATATTTCCCACAAGCCCTCACAATTCTATAGCTTTTCCTGGCATTCCCAATGAGAGCCCCTCTCTGGTTTGGGGCAGACATGCATAGATATGAAGACTTGAACAGAAAAACATATCCTGTGAGACTGAGATGTTTATTGTACTTTGGCTCGACTTTTCACCTGAATATGAGTTCAGTCCAAGTCTTCATCTCAGTATTTCATAATTTATTTCTCTCTCAAAAACTTCCAAAATCTTTTCTGCCCTCATTGCATCACTTCCCATAGCCTTAGCACGCCAACACCCTGATGGTAAACACTGTTATGAAGAAACAACCACATGAATTCTGCCATGTCAATCAAATGAAAGTGCAGAAATATTATTAAACATCATTAAACTCTATTACATTTCTGCATCCAACACACAAACAGTCCCAGGGTGCTGCTGCACAGCTTGTCACTACTAACGATGACGTGACGAACGTTGCTACAATGTTGTTTTTATGTCGTTTTGTTCCCTAAACACATTGACAGGTTACAGACACGTCATCAGACTAAAAACATACACATGCAAAGGTGTGAAAAACACGCATCTATCGTAGTCAGCAGAGAGCTAGCTAAATGAACTTACACTTTTTGCATTGACGTCTTTGCGACAGTATGGCCGAATTAAAACGTTTTCTCCTGTGGGCAGCAGGGGGCAGGAGAGAGCACTGGGGTTTTCTTACCAGCAGAAACAGGGGATGAGAAGAGGTGGTGGTGGATGAGCATTCATAATAGTTAGAGGAGGATTAGAGAGAGCTGAAGTTAAACTCGGGATGGAGCGATGTGCCTAACTAATGATATGTGTGGAGATGGTCGGGGAAAAAGTGCAACCATAGGAGCCGGCTCTCATTGGACAGTTGAACAGAAGAGAGACAGATAGTTCTCCAGTTACAAGTGAGTGTTAAAATAATCAGCTGTTTGTCAGACAACAGCTTATGCGGACAGACATGAGAATTTGACTTAGAGTATCAAGTAACTCTCACAGCGTGTGTTTGAGTGTCTCTGCCAACAGTATCGACGTCATTTTGGGTATTTCAGTCACTGCAGTCAGAGCAAAAACACATTACAACTCTAAGTCAGATTTGAATTTCTGTCACAAACCTATTGGGATAGCACTTAAAATTGCTTGATGGGACACATGAGATGACGCCATGAGTGTTAGTGTGTGTTGGATGAAATATGAACAAATTTTATGTGACTAATGAAATTTTAACTGTGAGGAACTGTGTGTGTGTGTGTGTGATTCCATGACTAAAAAAATCTTAGCTCTCAGTAAAAGAAGGGTGGGGAGGAAGGCTACTTTAGGGGGCCAGCCTACAGGAAGTGATGTAATAGCACCAATATATCAGATGACAAGAATGGTGAAAGTATAAATGTAAAAGTAGAAAAAAGACAAAAAGGTGTCAGAAATGGTATAAGGAAGAGAGATTAGAGAATAGGAAGACCAAAGACAGACAAAAACAGAGCGACAGGCAGTAAAACAGAGAAAAACAGAAAGAGAGGGAGGGAATGAGAAAAAAAGACAGTTAATATAAAGTTTCCGAAATCATTTTTTAACAAAAGTACAAAGTGTGAAAAGTGTGCAGCTCAGATTGTGTTCTTGTATAAGATTGCATGTGTGTGCAGAGAGAGAGAGAGAGAGAGAGAGAGAGAGAGAGAGAGAGAGATGGCAGAGCTTTCTGTCACTTAACAAGAGGAAATCTTCACCATTCTGCCATGATTACAGCTCTCACAAACTGTCAGTGTGCGTGTAATGGACGGCCCTCAGCTCTGGGTTTTGTTGTGAATGTGTGATTTAAAATTTATTTTTAATTTTTTCTTATGACTGTGTCCTAACCAGGTGCAACACGACAACTTTCAGGCGACAAGTAATTTGTCTGACCTCCCTGAAAACAAAAACTGAGCGCATTTTCACAGAACAGATGTACAATATACGACTAGAATGGGGTTCAAAAGTCCACTCTGAAAATATGGGACTTGATCTCATTTAAACCTGGAGAAATCCCAGAAGGGTTTAGGATTTATATATAAGGACTTAAAATGCTGCACTATTTGTAGTTTAATGAAAAAGAAACATTGTACACGTGAATTCCTTTGTACAGTAAAATGTTCTTGCTTCCACTTAAGTTCAAGATGCAGTTTGGATCATCTCAAATCATGCTGGAAAACACGATCATCAAGTAGTTCAAGCAGCTCGAATGCTGCTGTTATTAAAGCAAAAGAGGGACAAATCAAATACAACAGATTCCAAAATTCATATAAATTTTTTCAATTCAATTTTTAATCACATTTTCATGATTATATAATTTTTTAAAAATTATTAAAATGGAACATTTTTTGAATAGAAGCTATTTAGAATTTTTAACCTGAACATAAATACAAAAACCAAAGCAACACAATTTATATATTATAATTATTAAATATCTGGTCACAGCTGCAACAAAATTCATAGAGATTGCGTTTGTTGCTTGTAGTTTGTAGCTTTATTGTGCTGCACCTAGATTGGACACAGTATTTTTGTATTTTTTTTTAACCACACATTTTATTTAGTTGGAAGTAAAATGAGAAACTTCACCCCTCTCCTGTCCTCCTGTTTTTAAAGATTCATCTTTCATTCCTCGCCTCCAAAACTCTCCACCACCCCCTCTTTTCATACCCGTCTCTTTCACTTGAGAGCGATTTTGCGCGCAAGTTGAGAAAAGAACGCGGCGGGACTCGTTTTAGTTTGCCCTCCCTCTCTCTCCTGTTTAGTGAGCTCTAGCTCAATGGTCATAAGAACCCTGCCCTGCCTGCCCATCCCCGCTGCCTCTTCCTGGGCTTGGGTCTGGGTGGAGGAGGCCCCGCTCAGGAGCTCTAGCTCTCTGCTCCACAATCCCTATTTCTTCTCCCTGCGAGACTCCTGTTTCTTCTTCTCTGATGCTGCCGCCTTCAGCTTGGCCGGATCCGTCACAGCCAAAGCCTGGAAAGAGAGAGGGAGTGTGGAGACGGAAGGAGTGAGTCACTACGGGAGGAAAGAGAGAGAGAGAGGGGGGGGATAGAAAGAAAGCAAGAAGATAAAAGATAGAGGGGTGAAGAAGAAAGAAGGGCTTGTGGGTTAGGTGGGAATGGTCAGATGAGTTTAACGGATATGAGGAACCAGAATAAGGGAGGTAGTTTCATTACAGAAGAGAAGAAGAAGAAAGAGTGAAATGCTAAACGAGTGGTTAGAAGGAGATGAACACCAGGGGAACTTTCGGTTTCTGGAAAGGGAGGACAAAACAGGAAGTGGCCAGTTAGGGAGTGATAGCGTGACATCACAGCACCTAAATAAAAGAATCTGTATACAGCTGACCTTTGACCCCTTGGGATGCTGAAACATGTTTGATTATCTTTTGGTTTTTTTTCATAAAGGTTCACTTCAGTTCTGTCAGAAACCTGAAATGGTGCTGCACTATGTAACTCAATTAAAGGTGAAGTGAATACATTTTCCAAATAAAATACTTTGCTTTAACCCAGTTTTACAGTAAGTAGGCTTTTTGAAAATAGAAACATTACATTATGAGTTTATGGCAGGACGTCCCATTTGTCAAAATCATAAAAGGGTGGTAGGAGGGTTTTCGAAAGATACTGTCAAAAATAACGCCAGTACTTTTGCAGTAATAACATCATTGTTTTTACAGTTCCATCTGATGCTACTATTAGTGCAGAAATTAAACACTTCACCTTTAAAGAAATGTTTTGGAATAAATACAACTTAAACTGAAATATCACAGAATTTAGAATTCTGTTGACAGATTTGAACTTGTTTTTAACCCCAAAATATTCCTGTAAGTTCTGTGACGTCAAATCTAGAAATATGTACATCTGTTACTGAACATCTTATCTTTTTTTTTTTTTTGCTGCTTTTGTAATCTAAATACTCACGTAAAACTATGCAGCAAGTTTCCGCTATGGGATTTTAAAGTCCTGAGATCTTAGTTCTAGTCTGCAGCACATAGACTCTTTATCAACCTGCATTCAGTTCACTGGATATTGGAGGGTAGACTGGGTTTACACTGACAGAACCAAGAAAATAAAGAAGTGAAAGAGAAAGAGTGAAGCTGACAGGAGACGCACACAGAGGAGCGCAAACAGAGGAGTGTATACTGAAACCGATGACAGAAAGAAAGAAAGAAGAAAGGCAATAAAAACAGAAAGAACATAAACAATACAAGATTGGAAATCTGCTAGTTTGATCCTGTAAGAGATGAGATGAGTACGAGGAAGGCGGTGGCTTGATTGTACGTGATTGTGTTTGTCGTGATAAAATATATGATTAAAGCAGATACATGATTCAGTCTGACAGCATTTTACTGTTCACCTGTGGAGAGAACAGAGGACAGCAGGAAAGGGAGGGGACGAGACAGCTAGAGGAGAAAAATCAGTGATATGGAGGAAGTGAAGGATAATGGCATGGAAAAGTGCACAGAAGAAAATAAACCCAAAGAGACAGAGAAAGAAAAGTAAATTGGTATGTAAATGAATGGCACGTTAGCACAGAAAAAGATGTATGAGCTCCATTTGACTGCCAGCTCAATGACACTGATGTCCACAGGACCATAGGGAAGAGCTGAGAGTGATATAGTGTATTCTTAAATCTGGACCACAAATCAATTTTCATTTTCTGCGTTGGTTTAACCTTTAATGTTGTAACCTTTAAAGGATTGTTACACTGTAGCCTAATATATATATAACTCTCCACATGACTTGTTGCATACAATTGCAGTATACTGTATGTGGCAACAACAAACATGCCTGTGTGCTTGTATCCTTCAAAAAATGTAGTTTTGACACCAGTGCTGTATCCCAAATATCCCCTGCTTCTATTTTTGATGAGGTACAGCTACTCTGGTCTAGACATGTACTGTATTACAAGTATGTTTACATGCATTGCGAATGAGGCTTCATAAGCTGGCATGCAGACAGGAGCACAAACACTGAGGTAGATGTAGGCTTGGAGTTTTAAAATTGGAGTTTTAACTTCCATGAACCTGACATTTCTTTAGTGCTTATTTTTATTATTACATTATATTATATTTATTTTTTATATTTATTTATTTATTTATTAATATAAATTATTACAGTTTTATTTTACATTTTTTTACATTACAGTTTAATTGATTATTACTACAACATAAAATCATTCTAATATGCTGATTTGGTGCTCAGTTATTACTGGTGCTCAAATTATTATTAATAATGGTTCTTATTATCACTGGAAACTTTTGCTGCTTAATATTTTTTGTGGAATATTTTTCCCCAGGATTATTTGATAAATGGAAAGTTAAAAAGAACAGCACTTATTTGAAATAGATCTTATAACATTATAAATGTCTTTACTGTCACTTTTGATCAATTTAATGTGCCTATGCTAAATAAAAGTATTAGTAAATAAAAATAAAAATTTGAATCTTACCTCAAACTTTTAAATAACGTATCACAGTTTCCAAAAAATTAAGCAGAACAACTATTTTCAACATTGCTAATAATAAGAAATATTTCTTGAGCACCAAATCAGCATATTAGAATGATTTCTGAAGATCATGTGACACTGAAGACTGGAGTAATGATGCTGAAAATTCAGCTTTGCATCACAGAAATAAATTATATTTTAAAATATATTAAAACAATAGAAAATAGTTATTTTAAAATGCAATAATATTTAACAATATTAAAATTTTTACTGTATTTTTGATCAAATAAATCCCTCCTTGGTGAGCATAAGAGACTTTCAAAACAAAAAATCTTAAATATTCAAAACTTTTGACTGGTAGTGTGTGGAAATGTACTGACTTGACTCTTGACTTGTAAGACCTTGGTCAAAACTAACCACAGACAAAAGAGGGGGAGACCACTGGAGGACAGGAGGCAGGAGGTGAAACTAGCAAGCACGTGTGTATGTGAATATGTGCTTGTGTGTGTTTGTGTGCGTGTTTAGGGTGGACACAGGTGAGCACTTGCCTGTTTTTGCTGTGATCCTTCTTTTCCTTTGCCTTTCTTGCCATGTTTACTAAGGGGACAAAAATACAAAAATTGCATGAACAATGTGGCCATCTGGTTGAAGGAGGACTCAACTTGTTATGTAATTGTCCAATAGTCTCAGCCTTAGATGGACCACCCTCAATCTATTCACAAGAGAGTGAGGGTACACTGATTTTTATTTATTTATTTTTTAACAGTTGGCTAAAAATTGTTGAACAGTTGTTCAAGGTTGATACAACTAGCACTTTAAAAGCACTATAGAAGAACTATTAACTAGATTTGCCAAAGTAGAACAGTATATTGAGTGAGTTACTGTACATTAATACTTCATATTTATGGACAGACTATAACTATAATGGACAGGCACATAAAAACAAAACAGTGGCTGGTTACTCAAATGTCACTCTTCCTGTCTAAGTGTGCAGATCTTGGTAAAATAGTAGTGCATTTAGTCCGGCTATGCAAGAATAGGTGACTTAGTAATCCCCAGTTTGGTTGGGGGTTCTGTCAATGCCTTGCTCATGACGTGTGTGTTTTTGTGTGAGTGTGTGACTGGTGGGGATCTGGGCTGTGTTGTGGTAAGCGTATGCGTGTGAACAGGAGTGTGTGTGTCAAGGCCGGGCAGAGGGTCGGGTCGGCCTTGAGGGAGCAGATGCTCCCAGACTGACCTCATGCTCAAGCTGAACACTCGTCTGGCGACCAGGAAACGCATCAGATAGTAAATTGCCACAATGAGGATCAGCAGTCCCAACACTACGCCAATAATGGCCCCTGTTATCACACCAGCCTGGACTGGAACTGAGAGAAAAGGAGAGAATATAAAGTGAGAAGTGTTGAGGACTGCAGATTAAAGAGCTCCTGTACAGTTTTACTGATCTATTAGTTGCATTATGTTTTTGCCTTAATGCACCTTTTTTATGTGGTGTGGATTTTTACAGACACGACTATATTACTGAAAAATAACTCCAAACAACATCAATCAATGCCCACCTGGAAATGTTCTAATTTTTTCCTCCCAACCAGGCCAGCATATACCACTAATACCACACTGAGAAGTTAAATTTACTGTTTAAAAGGGAAACAAAGAAGAAAATCAAAAACATCTGTGCAAAAAAGCATTTATTTGATGAATTAGGCTCTGTGTTATTAGAATGATTTCTGAAGATCATGTGACACTGAAGACTGGAGTAATGATGCTGAAAATTCAGCTTTGCATCACAGAAATAAATTATATTTTAAAATATATTAAAACAATAGAAAATAGTTATTTTAAAATGCAATAATATTTAACAATATTAAAATTTTTACTGTATTTTTGATCAAATAAATCCCTCCTTGGTGAGCATAAGAGACTTTCAAAACAAAAAATCTTAAATATTCAAAACTTTTGACTGGTAGTGTGTGGAAATGTACTGACTTGACTTGTTTTAAAAAAGACCTTGGTCAAAACTAACCACAGACAAAAGAGGGGGAGACCACTGGAGGACAGGAGGTCTTTAAAGAAACTAGCAAGCACGTGTGTATGTGAATATGTGCTTGTGTGTGTTTGTGTGCGTGTTTAGGGTGGACACAGGTGAGCACTTGCCTGTTTTTGCTGTGATCCTTCTTTTCCTTTGCCTTTCTTGCCATGTTTACTAAGGGGACAAAAATACAAAAATTGCATGAACAATGTGGCCATCTGGTTGAAGGAGGACTCAACTTGTTATGTAATTGTCCAATAGTCTCAGCCTTAGATGGACCACCCTCAATCTATTCACAAGAGAGTGAGGGTACACTGATTTTTATTTATTTATTTTTTAACAGTTGGCTAAAAATTGTTGAACAGTTGTTCAAGGTTGATACAACTAGCACTTTAAAAGCACTATAGAAGAACTATTAACTAGATTTGCCAAAGTAGAACAGTATATTGAGTGAGTTACTGTACATTAATACTTCATATTTATGGACAGACTATAACTATAATGGACAGGCACATAAAAACAAAACAGTGGCTGGTTACTCAAATGTCACTCTTCCTGTCTAAGTGTGCAGATCTTGGTAAAATAGTAGTGCATTTAGTCCGGCTATGCAAGAATAGGTGACTTAGTAATCCCCAGTTTGGTTGGGGGTTCTGTCAATGCCTTGCTCATGACGTGTGTGTTTTTGTGTGAGTGTGTGACTGGTGGGGATCTGGGCTGTGTTGTGGTAAGCGTATGCGTGTGAACAGGAGTGTGTGTGTCAAGGCCGGGCAGAGGGTCGGGTCGGGCTTGAGGGAGCAGATGCTCCCAGACTGACCTCATGCTCAAGCTGAACACTCGTCTAGCGACCAGGAAACGCATCAGATAGTAAATTGCCACAATGAGGATCAGCAGTCCCAACACTACGCCAATAATGGCCCCTGTTATCACACCAGCCTGGACTGGAACTGAGAGAAAAGGAGAGAATATAAAGTGAGAAGTGTTGAGGACTGCAGATTAAAGAGCTCCTGTACAGTTTTACTGATCTATTAGTTGCATTATGTTTTTGCCTTAATGCACCTTTTTTATGTGGTGTGGATTTTTACAGACACGACTATATTACTGAAAAATAACTCCAAACAACATCAATCAATGCCCACCTGGAAATGTTCTAATTTTTTCCTCCCAACCAGGCCAGCATATACCACTAATACCACACTGAGAAGTTAAATTTACTGTTTAAAAGGGAAACAAAGAAGAAAATCAAAAACATCTGTGCAAAAAAGCATTTATTTGATGAATTAGGCTCTGTGTGAGGCATTTGGATTCAACAATGACTATTTTTCACTGAAATTGTACTCTCAGAAAAAAATGCACAACCACACAAGAAACCACTCGGGTCTCTATTTACTGTTATTTTGTACTTCCATTAGCAGCAAACTTTCATCTTCTGCCATATGATCTCCTAGATTTTGTATGCCACCCTGAAATAAGATGGGCCTAAAGGCAAAAAGCAGTCTTGATAGTAACTGCAGCAAGAGGCGAAAGCAAAGGAGGAACTCGAATGACTTTCTTTTGTAAGGTGTTTCTCTGCAAAGAAGCCATTTTTGTTTTTCAAAATAATTTTTTATTAGTCGATGAAGACAAAAATGTTCATAGTGATCTGTTACCCTTCTCAAACACCAGCAGTCGAACGCTGGAGGGGCGGCCGGCAATGTCAGGTGGGTTCTTGGCGTCACAGGTGAAGGTTCCGTTGTCTGAGAAGTCGAGGTTCTTGATCAGGATAGAGCCATCACGGCGACTGGGGTTCCCCACAAATTCCAGACGGTCCCGGAATGGGCCTTTGTTATCCACGTAGGCAGCTCCACCTACGTAGTGGAAAATCTAAATAATGATAGAAAGCGGTTATCATCCTATATCTTATCATAAAATGTAAAACTACTTAAGATTATATATATATATATATATACACACAGTGGGTACGGAAAGTATTCAGACCCCCTTCAATTTTTCACTCTTTGTT